ATAAGATTTTATTTCCTCACACGATTCGCTTTATTTATATTTTAATGTTTCTTTCAGTTAAATCTATATAGTCGGACATTATACCACCCCGAGGAGCAGTCTAATGTCCTTCTATTGATTTTTGAGAAAGAAAACCATAATTCATTCTTTTAATTAGGTGCAGCATAGGGAATATGCAAATCATACCGAAGACCGACTTATAGACTAATGAATTATAGATTTATTTCTATTATCAAATATAGAAGATATTTGACCTACCTGTAAGAGCATATCAATTATATATCTATCCTTTGATTATAGAAATAAATCTTTAAAATATAGATAAAGTACTAATCCACGTTCACAGATCTTTTCTCTACCTTAGAAAGTAAACTAAGATAGGGTTTAGATTATTCTGGGATCTAGACTCCCTAGAGGGGCAAGCCCCTATAGTTAATTACATCTCCTAAAAGAATACTCTCGATTTAATGAAAGACTAATTAATTTCAAAAATTATATACAAATTAAATTAAATATTTGAGCAAATTTAAATTTCCACGACCAGGCTTTAGATTATAGACTCTAACACTGAATTTTGGAAGCATTAGAATTGATTAGAAGGAAGGTGCAGAGAAAAGTGTATACGATCTAGACTTACCACCTGCCTAGAGTGGGCTGCCAGCTAACAATCCTAATCACAAACAATTTGCCAATGAATGCAAGATTTAAGATAACTCTATCCTAGGAATCAAGGAATTTTTAAAGAATTTAAAACAAATGCAGGATAATATGCTTATAAAAACCAAAAAACTACTCATATGTTGATGATGCATGAAACAGTTGTAAATAAAAGAACTGATTTTATTAATATAGAATTTATCGGTTACATCCTAGAATTTGCAATAAAGTAAAGGTGGCTAGGTCCCACCGATAACAAACCTAGGTTCTAAGCCTATAAGAGAGAAGAATTAAATTCAACAGCTTATGGTCTTCAGGCTCCGAGTCTTCTATGGAATTCCAAAAAGGAACGTCCTCCTGAAGGAGGATATTACTTTTTGGAGCCCTATTTGTATATCTATAAGCAGCTGTCTTTAATTCTTTTACAGTCTCCAGACACTTTACAGACTCAATCTATATACAACAAATTTAGGAAATAAAAAGCTTTACAATTCTTTTTATATGTACATTGATCCCTAAGAACATTCTACTTTTGCAGGAACATAAAAGACATGAAAGTAGAGTAGTTAGGTAATTATGCAAGCTATGAGTGCATTGTGTACAGTTATAAATGCAGGAAAGTAAAGACAGAAAAGTAAAGTACAGCTCTCACTTTATTCACTCCTCTCTTTGGTGTATATATAGGGAAATAAATATGCATGCTATGCAGTACGGAAAAGTAAGCAAACACACATAGGTGCCCTCTAGGGAAGACACCCGCAAACAAACCACAACAATCCACCGGCCTAACCTAGGCTAAAGTTGGTAGACCTAGCAAGCTTCTAAGTGTGTGAAAATGGTCGTGTGGCTTGGATATGTCCTATAGAAATTATTGTTTGAATAACATATATTATTAGGATTGATTTATTAAAGGCCCAAAAGGGAATTTGATTAAAGTTTAAATGGAGTATATTTGAATTTTTAAATTATTCCAATTTTAGGATGTTAGAGTTATTTAATTTAATTTTAAAGAATTTATAGATTGATAACTCCCTAAGTGGAGGAAGTTATCAATTTATAAATCCTAGGACTTTCAGAATAAATACCCGTCTTATATAGAAGATAGGTATCCATTTGAGAGTCCTCAAAATTTATTTAAGAGAGAGAAAGGGACCTTATGAAATGCAATACCACATGCCCTCCCAAAGGAATCTAGCATGTCGTTTAAGGTCGGTATATTATTATTATTTTGTTTGAAGATCTCCAAATCTGAATGTATTGGTGCCTTCCTAAAAGGAGTCGTGCACAATACATGGGAGATCTGTTGGTTATTTAAGTGTATTAAAGACCCTTTAAATCAAAATGCCTAAAGCTCTCTAAAAGGAATCGGGCTTTAGGCATAAAGGCCTTAATCCATTTAATCTAAATTAATAATCCATTTTGATTGATTAAAATAAATTTTAATCAATCAAATTATCAAATTGATTTAGTTTAGATGAATTAAAATTTAGTTTAATTTTTAATAAATTTTATTGTAATATTTAGATTTTTTTTGAATTTTTAATCATTTATTGGATTATTAAGGAATATTATTATTAGAAAATTATTTAATATTAAAATTAATACATTTCTGGTTTAATTCGATTTTAAATGAATTTATTTTATATGTTTGGTATTTATTGGTATTTTATATGAATTTTAAGGCTTTTATTTAGTTAATGTTCAATTAAGGGTGCTTAAGGGTTTAATTAAAATTTAAATGAGATTTAAGTTTAAAATTGATTTAGATCTATTAGTGTTTATTTTAGGGTGCATTAGAATTAATTGAATTTTTAAAGATTTTTATTGGAATTATTATAATTTATTTAGTGATAGTTTGATTAAAGATTAATTAAGGGTTAACTAAAGATTTAATTAAAACTAAATGAAATTGAATTTGTATTTTGGTTCTAAAAGATTGAATATTTGGTTTAGCATTGATTAGGATTAAATGAAGTTGATTATAAATTTTCATGAATTTTATTTGATTTATTTGGGTTTGTTACCACAAAAGAAAAAGATCCTTAATCTACTAGTTGTTATAAGATTGATTAATGTCAAATCGATGTGTGTTAGATCATTGGGTACCTGACATTAGTTTTCTAAGTTGATGTTTTATCCCAAAAGGGACTTATAAAGTATATTCTAAATTGCTCTAAATTTACTAAGACACACCTTAATTATTGTCCTTAATGTCACTAGGTTGTAGGATATAAATCAAATTATTCTAACCCTTAATTTCCAATAATCTAAGTCAAAATTTGACTTGGATTTTTGTAAATTCATAAACAAAATCAGATTGCATCAAATAAGCTTAAGAAAATTACATTGGATCAACATTAGGCCCTATTACATCTCTGCCAAAATTTAACTCAAGATAATATATATATTTTTATTTACAAATAAGATAAATATTTTAGTATAATTGAAATTATTAAGGAAATGTTACTCAAAATAATTTTTATTATTTTTAT